TGCATAAAAATATCAGGCTGTGGGATAGCAGGTGAAAAAGATACTTTGGTAGGAACAATTTTGTGTAAGCATTTTAGAATCACAGTGGCACATTAGTCATTGACCATCTAAGAGAGGCATAGTTGTGTTCATTTTAGTTAGCAAAGAAAATAAATAAAAGATAATAATGCCTTACCAGATGTAAGTTAAAAGCAGTCTACTTTGATATAGTAAACAATATTTATAAAATTTGAATAGATGATAAACATTGTAAAGCCATTGTAAAGCAAAATACTTCTCTGTACCTTTGAAACAATATTTACATATTACAAATAAAGTGTAGATACCCAACATGCAAACACCTCAATTACATATGTATTTCTATATGCATTGACTTTATCAGATTTTAAATTTTTATTAGCTTAAAAATTATTTAACTTCTAAATAGGATCAATTAAAACTCATTTTCAATGTTAAAATGTATTCTATGTTAAATTATTTTAGATTGTATAATTAAGAAGCAGTTATTTCTTTAACAAAATATAAATACTTGAGTGAATGAGTATCATCTGAGATTTCATAAGAATGCTATAGGTCAAGTTTAGAAATCATATTCTTTTAAGAAGTATTTTATAATAAAATATCGGCAAATTAATTACATATTACTTACACAGTCAGGTCAGGTTTTCTTAATTCGTTACCTGTATAACACTAGTGTGTAACTGTGTCAAAGAATGGACTGCTGCAGATATGTGCTTTCTGTTGAAACTGATACTGATATGGGATAAGGTGTGTGTGTGTGTGTGTGTGTGTGTGTGTGTGTGTGTGTGCTCCTAAGGACTGACTATGAGGTCTCACACGTGCCAGGCAAGCATGCACATTGATTATTGACACTGAGCTATAATCTACCTTTTTTTTTTCTTTTACTATTTTTTTTTATTTTTATTAGTTCAAATTAGGAACACGCTTGCTTCACATGACAATCCTTCCTCTCTCTCTCTCCCCTCCACCAACCCTCCCCCCAACATCCCACCTGCCCCCACCACATCCACCCATCATTCCCCAGGATGGGTAGGGCCCTCTCAGGGGCTCCCCAAAGTCCACCACATCATCCTGGGCCGGGCCTAGGCCCTTCCCCGTGTGTCCAGGCCAAGACATGGGATGGGCTCTCAGAGTCCCTTCCTACACCAGGGAAAATACTAATCCACTACCAGGGGCCCCCTAGAGTGCAAGAACTCCTAATTGACATCCATGTTCAGGGGTCTGGATCAGTCCCTTGCTGGCCTCCCACACAGCAGTCTGGGGTCGATGTGCTCCCCCTTGTTCAGGCCAGCTGTTTCTGTGGGCTTCACCAACCTGGTACCAAGCCCATTGATCTTCACTCCTCTCTCTCTGCAATTAGTTTCCAGAGTTCAGTTCAGTGCATGTCTGTGGGTGTCTGCCTCTGCTTCCATCAGCCACTGGATGAGGACTCTAGGATAAAATGTAGTGATCAGTCTCATTATAGGGGAAGGGCATTTAGGATATCCTCTCCACCATTGCCTAGATTGTCAATTCGTGTCATCCTTGTAGATCTCTGGAAATCTCCGTGGTGCCAGATCTCTCCTCCAACCTATAAAGGCTCCCTCTAATATGGTATCTCTCATCCTGCTCTCCTCTATTCTTCCTCCAACTCAATATTTCTGCTCCTCCATTTCCTCCTCTCCTCTCCTGCTCCTCTTATTCTGACCACTCCCCCTCCCCTCCCCTCATGCTCCCAATTAGCTCAGGAGTTCCTGCCCTTTTCCATTCCTGGGGTCCATGCATTTTTCCTTTAGAGGCCTTCTTGTTTCCTGGTTTCTTTGCTGAAGAGGATTGTAGGCTGCTGGTAATTCTTTGCTCTATGTCTAAAATTCATATATGAGTGAGTATATACCATGTTTGTCTTTTTGTGACTGGGTTACCTCCCTCCAGATGGTTTCTTCTAGTTCCATCCATTTGCCTGTGAATTTCAAGATTCCATTGCTTTTTTCTGCTGAGTAGTACTCCATTGTATAAATGTACCACATTCTCTCTATCCATTTTTCAGTTGAGGGGCATCTAGGTTGCTTCCACGTTCTGGCTATTACAAACAACGCTGCTATGAACATGGTTGAACATTATGTTCTTGTTGTATGAACGTGCATTATTTGGGTATATACCCAAGAGAGGAATTGCTGGATCTTGAGGTAGACTGATTGGCATTTTTCTGAGCACCCGCCATACTGATATCCAAAGTGGGCTTACAAGGTCGCACTCCCACCAGCAATGGAGGAGTGTTCCATTTTCTCCACATCCTCTCCAGCAGAGATTGTCATTGGTGCTTTTTATTTTAGCCATTCTGGCCGGTGTAGGATGGTATCTCAGAGTTGTTTTGAGTTGCATTATTCTGATGACCAATGATTTTGAGCACTTTCTTAGGTGTCTTTCAGCCATTTTAGATTCCTCTGTTGAGAATTCTCTATTTAGTTCTGCACCCCATTTTTAAATTTAATTGTTTGGTGTTTCGGTGGCTAGATTCTTGAATTCATTGTATATTTTGGAAATCATCCCTCTGTCAGATGTGGGGTTGGTGTAGATCTTTTACCATTCTGTGAGCTGTCGCTTTGTCTTATTGACTGTGTCCTTTGCCTTACAGAAGCTTCTCAGTTTCAGGAGGTCCCATTTATTAATTGTAGATCTCAATGTCTGTGCTACTGGTATAATGTTCAGGAAGCAGTCTCCCGTGCCAATTCGTTCAAGGGTATCTCCCACTTTCTCATCTAGAAGATTCTGTGTGACTGGAATTACATTGAGATCTTTGCTCCATTTGCACTTCAGATTTGTGCATGGTGACAGATATGGATCTATCTGCAGTCTTCTGCATGTCTGAATCCAGTTGTGCCAGCACCATTTGTTTAACATGTTATCTTTTTTCCATTGTATAGATTTAGCATCTTTGTCAAAAAAAAGTTGTTCATAGGTTTACTCATTTTTTCTTTGTTTTTTTTGTTTGTTTGTTTGTTTTAAATACAGGGGTTCTATGTGTAACTGTCCTGGCTGTCCTGGAACTTGCTTTGTAGACCAGGCTGCCTTTGAACTTACTGAATTCACAGAGCTGCACCTGCCTTTGTCTCACAAGTGCTGTGATTAATGGCATGTGCCACCACTGCCCTGCCTTTTTTTTTTTTTTTTTTTTTTTTAAAAAAAGGCAATTTTTTTTTTAAGTTGCTTCTAAGTTGCCAAGTTTGCCTTTGAACTACTTCTGTAGTCTAGGTCAGCCTTGAATTTTCAATACTCTTGCTTTAGCCACCTGAGTATCTGGGATTAGAGATCTACTCTAGCAGATTTACCCTGTGGAATTAATTTTTTTACTGTTAATAACTCAATCCATTTACCAAAAAATATTTTAAGGCTAAGCCTTCAAAAACAATGCAGTTCTATCATAGTCAATAGAATATTTAACCACTAGCATAATTGTTAAGGATCTACCTTAGCAGAAATATAATGCCAAAAGTATTCAAAGACTGAGGTGTAAATGAATTAGAGGTGAATTTTGAGCTGTGGGACTTAATGTTATTTAATACTATTTCCTAAAAATACACAAAACAATCTTTTTTATGGTCAAGTATGGGTATCCTCACAGATTTGTAGCCAAGTATTATGTGTGAATGTGGAAATTATCATGTACACATTTGCGTGAGTATGTTTACTTTTAAAAATCAGCTTAGCAATGGAATCTTGAAATTCACAGGCAAATGGATGGAACTAGAAGAAACCATCTGGAGGGAAGTAACCCAGTCACAAAAAGACAGGCATTGTATGTACTCACTCATTTGTGGATTTTAGACATAGAACAATGGATTTCCAGCCTGCAGCCCAGGCTGCCGAAGAGACTGGTAAACAAGGATGACCCTAAGAGAGACATACATAGTCCCCTGGAGAAGGGGAAAGGGACAAGATCTCCTGAGAAAATTGGGAGCATGGGGGGATTGGAGAGGGAACTAGGAGGATGAGAAGGGGAGAAGAGGAGGGGTGAGGAAGATATGATGGGACAGGGAGGTTAAGTTGGGGGAAGAACAGAAGAGAGCAAGATAAGAGATAATATAATTGAGGGAGACATTATGAGTTCAAAGAGAAATCAGGCACTAGGGAAATATCTGGAGAGCTACAAAAATGACACCAACCAACTATCTAAGCAACAGAGGAGAGGCTACCTTAAATGCCGCTCCTGATAATGAGATTGATGACAACTTCATATGCCATCTTATAGCATTCATCCAGCAGCTGGAGGAAGTAGAATCAGACACCCACAGTTTAACCTTGAACTGAACTGAAATTCAGATGCAGAGAAGGAGGACTGATGAGCAAAGGGGTCCATACCAGGCTGGTGAAACCCACAGAAACGGCTGACCTGAACAAGGGAGAACTCTTGGTCCCTAGACTGGTAGCTGGTAAACCAGCATGGGGGACTGATCCAGAGTCCCTGAATGTGGGTGTCAGTGAGGAGACCTTGGAAATCTATGGGGCCTCTTGTAGTGGATCAGTACTTATTCCTAGCATAGGAATGGACTTTAGGAGCCCATCCCACATGGAGAGATACTCCCTGAGCCTAGACACAAGGGGGTTGGCCTAGGCCCTATCCCAAAGAATATGACAGACTTTGAAGACCCCCCATGGAAGGCCTCACCCTCCCTTGGAAGCAGAAAGGGTATGCGATGGATAGGGCATTAGTTGGGGGGGGGACAGGGAAGGAGGGGAGGGAGAGGGACCTGGGATTGACATATAAAATAATTTTCTTTCTATTAAAAAAACAAAATTTAAAAAAGCAAATCAGCTTAGCTAATTTTCTAAAATTATAATTGTTCTAATTGAATAGTTAATTTTGTCAATATTATTGTTTATGTTTACTGCTATATATGTATGAAATTAAATTCTGAGATGCAAAATATGTTTAAAACATGTACAAAACAAAAAAAACATTAGCGTAATAACTAAAAAGGAATTTTTTTCTGTTTACACAGCTTGCAGACCGGGATTCTATAAAGCATTTGCTGGGAACACAAAATGTTCCAAATGCCCTCCACACAGCTCAACCTACGTGGAAGCAACTTCTGTCTGTCAGTGTGAAAAGGGTTACTTCCGGGCAGAAAAAGACCCACCTTCTATGGCATGTACTAGTAAGTCTATGAATTTTGTGTTTGAAAATTCTGTTTCTATTCATTTTGTTCTCTGTGTTATAGAAGTTTAAAAATAAGTAAATGTGTAAATCCCAGGGGCTTGAACAAAGCATACACCAAGCTGAGGCAGAACCAAGATCCTCCCCCATAACAAGGCTGGGCAAGGTAATTAAGCACAGGGAACAATTTCAGCAAAGCCAGCTAAGTATTGTGGACCGGTCCTGATGGCACTGCTGGGAGCCTTACAAAGAGACTAAGGTACACAGCTGTCACATACATGTAGAGGGCCTAGGTCAGTCCCATGCAGGCTCTCTAACTATTGGTCCAGAGCCCATATGCTCCCACAAACTCAGGTCAGCTCTCTCTGTGGGTTCCCCCTTAATGACCGCCCCCCACTCATACAATCCCTCCTCCTTTTCTTCAGCAGGATTCCTGGAGCTCAGTTCAGTGCTTGGCTGTGGATCTCTGCATCTGCTTCCATCAGTTTCTGAATAGGGTATCTCTGATGGCAATTCAGCAGTCACCAATCTGATTACAGTAGATGGCCAGGTCAGGCATCCTCTCCACTATGGCTAGGAGTCTTAGCTGGAGTTATCCTTGTGAGTTCCTGGGGGTTTCCCTGGTGCCAGGTCTCTTCAACCCAGAAATGGCCAAGACATCTCTTTCTTTACTCTCCCCCTCAGTCCTGCCCCAACCTGGCTCCCATACTCATGCCTCCCAACCTGCTTCCTCAAGTTCCCATTCCTCCATCCCTCCATCCTGCCCCCAGTTTGCTCAGGAGATTCCAAGGAAAATTTGTAATCAAGTCTTTGTGACCAACTTACAGACAAGGAGAGTGATTTTGAGTTTGTACACCTCTCTCTCTCTCTCTCTCTCTCTCTCTCTCTCTCTCTCTCTCTCTCTGTGTGTGTGTGTGTGTGTGTGTGTGTGTGTGGGATATTCAAATTAAATACAAATGACATTTTAACCAGTGTTTGAAGAATTTTAAATGATTTGTTGGTGGTGGTTGTTTTCCACTCTTAGCTCTTTTACTCTTTAGGTGCCTGCCACCAAACTTTCAAATAAATACATGGAGTCTTATTTTTACTTATGAATGCCAAGCCCTAGCTTGGATTGTTTCTAGCCAGCTTTTCTTAACTTAAATTAGCCCGTCTAACTTTTGCCTCTGTGCTTTTACCTTTTTATATTTCTGTATCTTCTCTTTACTTCTTACTCCATGTCTGGCTATGTGGCTGGATGACTGGTCCCGGTGTCCTCCTCCTTTTTCTCTTGCTCCTCAATTTTCTCCTCCCAGGTTTTTCCTCTTATTTATTCTCTCTGCCTGTAAGTCCTGCCTACCATATCTCCTGCCTTTCTATTGGTCATTCAGGTCTTTTTTAGACCAAGCATATGTTTTAGACAGGCACATATACACATACACATATATACACAGGCACATATACACAGTATGCCCATAGCTTCACAGAGTTAAAAAATGAAACTTAAAAGAATTCAGCACATCTTTGTATCACTAAACAAATATTCCACAGTATAAACAAATGTAACATATCTTTAATATTCTACAATAATTTGTTTTCTATTATTTTAGAATTTTGTAGTATCTATACAGTTTTTTAAATGTATCACTAAGATACACAGAAATGGAAGGTCACTCTTTAGTTTTAATCTCTTTTTAAATTCATAAACAATCTATTATAGGTGACCATTTGCCCTTTTGATGATGAAATGTGAAATTGAGAATTATATAATTCATAGAACAATAGTGATAATGTTTCATTTTTAGGTTTTCATAAGTTTAAAGCATCCCTTTTAGAGACGTGATTATATTTCATTCTTTGGGAATTTCATACATAAATATAATGAAATATCATCACTACCCAAAAGGACTATGCCCCTCCTTAACTTCCCTATATGTTCCAATATACCACCATCTTAACTTTGTCATTTTCTTTTTCTTTGTTCCTTCATTCATTCATTTGTTCCTTTCTTCCTTCATTCATTCCTTCCTTTCCTTGTTTTGACAATCCATTATGCCCAATTAGTCTTGGCCACATGTACCTGGGTTAGGTCCCATTAATTTAAACACTGGACAACTGCCAATGACCACAAGCTCAAAGAGGAACCAACCTTGTTCGGTGCAATGGAGCTTGTGATTTTGCCAGTTTTATAAGTGATTTGGATTGACTCATATATTTTCTCTTCTGAATGTTGTTATGATGTATTTGAATTTTATCATTAAAATGCTTGTAATTCACTTTTTCTCTCCAATAATGCAAATGCCTTGGAAAAGCAGCCATATTTGGTTGTATCACTTTGAATCACTTCTTTATTGCATTTAGATTTATGATACATACCCTTCTGTATTTAATTTGCCTTGTGTCACTTTAAATAACTATATCAGAAAAATTTACTAAAGATCCTCATTTCCACTTGAATTGGAAATATCTTTGTCCTGTTATTCACTTCACTTGATTCTGTTACACAATCTTTCTTGGAACTATATGTGGCTTGTCCTAACATTCTGTTGCATCTTCAAGACACAATGACCAAAACACACTCAGTGAAGGGATGGATTTATTTCAACTTGTTAGGTGTACTCAGTCATTGAGGGAAGTTAAGGAAGGAACTCAAAGTGTATTTTGAAGCAGAAACCATGAAATAGTGCTGTTTTCTGCCTGGCTCCCATGTTCATGCTCAGCTAGCTTCTTTAAATAGCCTAGGATCACCTTCAAAGGGAATGGTGCCATCAATGGCAGGCTGGACATTCTTTTGTCAATTAAAAATCAAAATAATCCCCCATAGACATGCTCAAAGGACAAGGTGATTTAGACAATTCCTCAAGCTAGGTGTTCCTCTTAGATGAGTCTAGACTCTTGACCGTGTTAAGGAGGGCATGACTTTCAATTTGAAACATTTGCAATCTCAATTTCACCCTCCTTATCTACTGTTTTATGTTATAACAGTAGTTTTTCTTGTTCCTTTGTTAGGTGTTAGCTTTATTCATGTTGCTTGTTTACCTTTCTCAGTACACTCTTACTCTCTCCCATAGTTAGAACTGTCATCTGTAGGTAGACAGTGTTGATAATTTTGTATAGTCCCAGTTTGTGTTCTGAGGACCAAAGTCTTCTAGCCTAAGGGTTAAGGTATTTGATCACCTGTAAATCCTACAGAAACCTGCCCACTCCTCTGACCAAATATACATGTTGCCTTTGCAGACTTCCTGGACTTCAAAGATGCCAAGTTTGATTCCTTTTTAGTGACAGCATCACAACCATTTGAAGAGTTCTCTCCATTAGGCTTCTTAGGGCTGTTTACATTTTACTTTGCAGGATCAAATATCAGCTCTCAGGATGGTTATTTTCTGACCAGTCTTTCAAAACTGCCACCTGTCCCACTTAATGTTTTTTGTCATCCTGTCTTATGTTTTATGCACTATATTATTCTTTAAAATCCTTGCTTTATTTCTATACCTGTGTCTCTGTTTACTGTCATTTTATCACATCAGACTAAAAGAGCCCCGGGAACAGTGACACTTTTTGTAGACTGCAACATCACTGCTCTCAGAATAGTACCTGGCATACAGAAGGGCCTTAATATTTGATGAACAGAGAAACTAATCAGTCCAAGCTTAACTTGACAGATCCAGTTTTATTACACTCAACTTTCACTTACTCATCCATCCTTGTTCTATTTTCCTTAACTTTATGAACCTTCATTTACCATGTTTTCAAGAGGAGACCTAATTGTACTTCAAATCAAGAACATGAAGGTCGACACTCATCTTATCTTTCTCCCTCCAATGTTAACTGTAACAAGATGCTTGAAACATTCCTAAAACCCACTTACACAGAAAAAAAACATCCTTGCCAATTTAGATATATATTATTAAATTAAATCATTGAGATCCTTTTCAATCAACTGTATGTCAAAAGTTAGAAGAAGTTAAATATGAAATGTTTTCTCTGATATCTTAATATATTTCATACACACTAAACTTTATTTCTCAGGTAATTAATTAATGTAAACTCTGTACTTCCCAAGGGGATCTGTGGAGGCTACTCCACAGTGCCAGACCTTGGACAATTAGGGCCATTTCTGAGAAAGTTAAGAGTACAGATAAATGACTATCCTGGACTTTGCCAGGTCAATACTCACTGAATTTTTTCTTTTGTTTGTTTTGTTTTTTGGGAGTTTTTTTTTTTTGTTTTGTTTTGTTTTGCTTTGCTTTGGTTTTTTTGAGATAGATAGGGCTGTTCTTTGTGTCCGAAAACTAAATAATAATATAAGTGTTGCTTTAAAATGTACTTATTGAAGCCAAGTGGTAGTGGTGCACACCTTTAATCCTGGCACTCAGAGGCAGAGGCAAGCAGATTTCTGTGAGCTCAAGGATAGCCTAGTGTACAGAATAAGTGCCAAGACAACACAGAGAAAACATGTCTTGAAAATAAAACAAACAGCAAAACAACAACAAAAGTACTTATAAAATAGATATATGATATATGAAATGTTAATACACAGATGAGTACAAGGTCAGGAAAACAAAACAAATCTGTGATTCTAGAACTTTTCCTTTGCTTTTTCTCATGATTTTAAATCATCAGCACTTTGCTTTAGAGCAACTGAACACATGCTTCAGGATTTACCCATTTAATTATCATTTACATTGCTTACTTAGAAAGGTTCCAACAGAATGCAAATCATGCATGTGCACACCTCTCCTGCACACCAGTAAACACACTGTTTGTATTGGGATTGTATGAACATGTAATCAAATACCCTACTAGTAAAACAGTTTCTGGCAACTTCCTTCTTAATACACAGGAGAATATCCTGTCTTTGTATTTGATATACAATGACAGTGATTGGGAAGGAAGCATAAACTTCAATTTACTTTTGCTCTAAAGTGAACACTGTAAAGCATGGTTTCATTATTGCTGGAATAATTGGCCACTTCAGAGAGTCATTATTTTCCCATTCTTATTTTAAGCAGAATAAATGCT